TAGTCAAATGTTTTTTTTGGCTGGTTCAGTTGAAACTGGCCATAGAAGAGGTAGGGTAAGTAGTTTGGCAAATTGGCTAGGAATCATGGTGTTATCTGGGAAGTGCCAAACCTCAGTTGTTTAACCTCAGCACCTCCGAATTTGCAATTTTGCATTTGTTTCAGAATCAGCATCAAGATCTCATTGATATACCTTTTTATATGCAGTGTCCTTCCAATTAAAGTAAAACACCTATTTATTTAAAAAGTGGTATTGAAATTGATGAATGTAGAAGAATTATTTTAGGCAGTTTGGAAATTAAGTTTCTGCAATTCATTTTCTGTCATTCGGAAGGGAACAGCTCTGCAAATGCTAAAGGGCAGATATCTAGCAAAATGCAAATATACCCGAATCAAAATGCGATGTGGGTAGGTTATGGGCATTTGGGGTACGAGATCAACAGTGGTGAATGTGTCCGAAAAGAAGGCAATAGTAAAAAGTATCAAGTTGGAAACCAATGATATCAGACAAAATAAGACTTGTCTGCCACTTGTTTATATGACCCATTCAATATTCAAAATCATGGGTAAAATCAGCATTTACACATTGGGTGGTGTGATAACATTTGTTATGGCATTAAATTGGCTACATTTGGTCGACTTCTGCTGATAAATATGTCACTGTGTTCTAGCCATGCTGGCCGACTGGATATTAGGTAGAATCCGCAGCATGAATGAGTCTAGAAATGCGACGCCATAGGTTATCATGGTTGAAACGGTAAAAGTGGGGTAATTCTCATGTTACGCTCATTTCGTACTGAATCTGCTCGACTCGGTCAAAGTGTAGCTGCAAAAGTGCAACTAAAGCAAAACTACCTTCATATTTTTAATGTATTAGCCTAACCAAAACTATTTTAAGGCAAAAAGCTAGCAAATGGATAGCGTTTCAGCCAAGCATTATTGTGAAAGCATTCGAGTTTTTGAACAGACACCACATGTACGTCATTCCATCATTTTTTTGCTGCTAAACAAAATGTTGATATACGAGTATGAAGAATTTTTAACATCGTTTCTACCTTTCATAATTATGCGCTTTCATTCGCAAGCCATATGAAACATAAAGCAGGACATTCATGGAAGTTGAACATGCCCAAAAACAATATGCGTGTAAACAGATAGAGAATTGTACACACGACGGCCAAATGGCCACGATGATTTAGATGAAAGCATTATTTAAAATATTAAGTCAACTTAGCTCACGGGGGCTACGAACATGGACCCTGCCAATTCCATGTGTATCAAAAAAGCCACATAAGTAGCCAATGCTTATCTGATGAGCAAACTATTATCTGGAGGTTTCTTCGTGCTTCTACACATTAGTGGAGCCACTGCACTATAAACCATCGTGTCAGTCCGTGCAGACACAAACAATGAAATAGGAACGCACTAATATCCGCTCTGCTGAAACACGTTAACAAAGCCAGAACTCACCCGTTCGAAATGAGTAACGGCTGCGATTGATGACAAATTTCTCGTTGTGGTTCATGCTGTAAGTATTCACTTACTCATTAATTGCATGAGCGATTCCAGAAGAAATTACAAATTTGAACTTTCCCTACTACAGAAAAAAAAATCCGCTACGACACAATTTTCATACATTCTCGTTAATAATGGGAGTAAAAAGCTAAGGACATGACAATTTTCCTCAGCAATCACTCTTACGTGACATGGAAGTCCGTCTGCTACATCGACGAGACAGCAACGGGTTTGAAGTCCAGTCGAGCGATCAGTGTGTCTACCCAGTGGTGTGTCGACAAGGCGACCAATCGGTCCCTCACCACGTCCTCCCTCTTACCCTTCGTGTACGGACCCACCGAGGATTCCATTGCTGTTCGACAGCTAAATATCAGTTTTGGGGACACGGGTGATGGATTCTATCGCTCTTCCAACTACACTGACTAGTGAGTGACTTGTGTTCGGTACTACCTGTTCCCAGTGTGCTACCCCAAGGTCTCAATTTTAACTCTCGAACAAAGACAACTCACTCGCAGAGGACTGCTGCCCGACACAAAGTCGAATTCACCGCGATCGGACTTCGAGGTCATGATCAAGTTCTCCGTCGCACAGTTTACGGCACAACAGGACCACTTAGTAAGTTTACCTTGTTCTAAATGCACTGCATTTCGTTGCATGCATCAAGAGATGAGTTAATAGGATGGCTTGAATTTGGGAGTATAGAAACAGGCAAAGGATCTTCACAGCTTATATTGGTGCTGCAGTATTTCTCACCACAACCGATGCATAGATAGTGTCACCGAAGCCGAAGCTCATTACGCCGCGACTTGGCAGTGGGTACGAATTTCACTCCCACCAACGACTCCTCACCACTCACAGCTCCTTCACTTGCCCTGCGGTGGAAGGACACACGGTGGGCACTGAAT